TGTGTGTGTGTGTGTGTGNGTTTTGGCGCGCCCAGCTGCCCCTGTCTCCGCCACGCGGGACGGNGGAAAAACGGGACTGGCCGCGTNTGGGGCGGCACAACACCGGCGGCCGGTGGCAAAAGGAACGAGGGACGCCGAGCAGAAGAAGCGTCAGGGGTCCGGTGAGTTACCAGACACACTACCACTACTACCACTACTAGTAGTACTATTGTTGTTATTGTTTTTCTTCTTATTTCTGTGCATGTAGCGGCTTTTGTTTTTTTTTTGCCTCCCATTCCTCCTCCTTCTTTTTTTTTCGTTCTCTATTGGCCGGGCGGCGGGGTCCCGGGTGCTGCTGGGGCGTGAGATGGGGGAAGGCAACGGCAATCTGCGTCTTCCCCGCCTGCCCCTTCTCTCCCCCCTCTCACTCCCCCTTCCTCTTTTTTAGTTGTTTCTTCTTCCTGCCTGCTCCAGCAGCGGCAGCGGGAATGTATATGTGCATCGAAACATCTACCTCTGCCTGTGTGTGTGTGCGTGTGTGTGTGGAGGATGCGCGCGTGCCCCCGCGGCCCACCTCTCCCGCCCCCGCGCGTGCTGCACCCGCCTCTCTCTCTCTCTTCTTCTTCTTCTTCTTCTCGCTATTTCTCTCTCGCCTCGCGGCGGCAGTGCAGCGAGGGAGCGACGCGGGCAGCAGCGGGTGGCCGTCCGCAGCAGCTGTTCGCACTGTTGTGTTCTACTCGAGGCTCTTGTAACTAAAAAGGGGCCGCAGGGCCGACTTGAAAGCAGAGAGAAAAGATAAGAAGGAAAAAAAAAATAGGGTAGGAGCGTAAAGAGAAGTACTGGTCTTCTCTGGAGTGGTGTTGCGGAGTAGCAAAGGCAAGGACAAAACAAAAAAAAAGAGAGAGAGAGAGAAGAAGGGATTGTAGTGCTGTCCCCTCACCGCACTTTATCGCAACGGTCCAAAGGCGCGTGCCGCTTCCGCCGGCCCCTCCGTCAATGCGGACGCGCCATCGCTGCCGCGCCCAATTCGGGGCACCGGCGTGGGCTCCGCCGCCGCTGCAACTACTGCTACTATTACTAGCCACCTGGGCGGCGTGCTGTTGTGTGGCTGCAGCCGCACAGGGAAACGCCGCCGCCACCTTCTCCTGCCCCATCGGGTGGACGTTGTGGTCGCCGCCGTCGCAGCCGCGTGGCGACGCGCCGGCGGATGCTGCCGCGGCGTTGTGCGTGCAGCCGCAGAGACTTCGAGTGGCACCGGCCGAGGTGGCCGACGTGTGTGCCCGCATCTTTGACTTGTACCCGCCCCGTGGCTGGAGTGGCGCCGCCAGAGAACTCGCCCCGCGGGCCATCTCCGTGCATTCCGACGAGCAAAATGCGTGGCTGCGAGACCTGCTGCAGCCGCTTTTCGCCGCGACGGGGGAGCCCGTGGCGCTCGGTGGTGCCGCCGGGTTCGGGGATGTCGCCTGGTGGGACGGCGTCGACGCGGGGGGCGGGGCGCCGCAGTACGCCCACTTTGCCCCCGCAGTGGACTGGCGAACGCGCAGCGGTTGCATCGCCATGCAGCCCGACGGTTATTGGCGCCTGGTGGACTGCAAGACCCCGCGAAGGGCATTTGCGTGCTCCTTCCCGCTCCCTGCCGCCGCCGAGGGCAGCGGCGAGGGCGGCGGCAGCGAACACGGCGGGGAGAGTCCGTCGCCGCCGACGGAGGCTCCCGCGGGGGACGAGCCCGTCCTCCCACCGCAACCCACCCGCCCGCCGGTGCCAACCCGCCCCCCGCGTGTCTCACCGGGTGGTCGTCGTACGCGGAGAAATGTTACCGCCTCTACACGGCCTCGATCGACGAAGAGGCGGCGGCGGGGGGCGGCGGCGACGGCGGGAGGACGCAGCAGGCGGCGCGGCAGTTTTGTGAGGCACTCCATCCCCGCATCACCCTCACTGGCGTGCTAAGCGCGAGCGAGGGTGCCTTCCTTGGCCGTCTGGTGCGGGACTGGGCGGGGAATCGCACCGACGCGTGGGCGCGGGCTCGTGCATTTCTTGGCGGCATCTTCACCGCGCGCGGGTCCGTGGGTGTGTGGTACGAGGACGCCCTCTGGTACGGAGAGGCGGCGTACGCGCGCAGCTTCCCCTCGAGTCCGACGTGGCCCACCGCGGCGAACCGCTTCTTCTCTAATTGGGGCGCAGGGGAACCAAGACTCCCCTTCGGCTGCGTGGCGGTGGCGGCGGACGGCGCGTGGCGGGCGGTGGACTGCCGCGCCTCCTTGCCGTTCGTCTGCGCCTACCTCAACGACGGCACCGTGACCCCAGAGACCCCAGAGCGCACTCCGGAAGGCTCCTCCCGCTCCTCAGCGGACACGGACGCCGACAACACCACAACCACCACCACGACCACCACATCTGCGCCACAGCCGCCAGAGGAGTCGTGCATGGAGGACTGGGCGTACTTTGCACCTACGAGGCGGTGCCTTCGCGTCTTTACGGATCGTTCCGTTGCCGCCGCTGACTTGGAGCAGCACTGTGGTCAGCTGCTCGACTACGCCGCGGCTGACACGATTCACGCGGCGCCCGTGGCGTCTGTGGAGGAAAGTGCCTTCGCCGGTCAGTTGGTGGCCAATGCGGGGCTGGAGCGTGCGCTGGTTGGGGTTTCGTATATAGAGCGAGGCGTGAGCGGGCTGTACCTTGACGGGGTGACGGCGTGGGAGCCGTCGCTGGCAGAACGCCTGTGGGCCGTGGGTCAGCCCACGCGCGAGAGCGGTTGCGTCGTCGTTGACGCCGCGGGGGCATGGCACACCTTCCCCTGCGGCACACCGGCCAGGGCGTATGCGTGCGCGTATCGGGCGGGGGCAGTTCACCCGCCGGCGAGCACCCCCGCGCCGACGAACACAACAACATGGCCGCTGGAAACACGCGTCGCGTCGCTTGCAGGGGCGGTGCACTTGGTGGTGGCGGCCGGCACTGTGGGGACCTACACCGTGGCCGGCGCGGGAGGGTCGACGGACGGGCTGCTGCTCATGTTTGCCCCGGATCTGTCGGAGGTCGTCGCGAGTGTGGGCTGGAGCGAGATTGCGGTGGTGTCGCCGTGTGGCGGCGGCTACACAAAACAGGAGTACATCTTTGCCGTGATGCAGGGCGTGGTGACGGTCACCCACCCCGCCGAGGCAATGCGGGGGCGCGTGTGTGTTTCCGACGATGGAGTGCACTACCTGCCGGCAGGCAACCTCACATTTGAGGTGGTGGATGCGGCCCTGCGTGGATTTATCCCGCAGCCGCCGTCCCCTTCACCGGAGGAGGAAGCGGCGGGCGGAGGAGGAGGAGGGGGCGGGAGCAACCGCGGCGGCGGAAACGCGTCGATGCTCATCTCCCAAGCGGTGGGTGTCCGCCTCGGGTCCAGCGGGGCGCTGCGGCTCGCCGTTCACCACCGCCGCCCCGGCGCCGGCGCGGGGATTTCGCGCCTTCGCTTCTCCTCCTCCCCCGACTGCACGGGCGGCCGCTACCTCCTCGCCGGCGAGAGCTGCGTCGTCGCCGCGCCGGAGCCCGGGCGGCCCCTGGTGACGTACCAGCGCGCCGACGTTGTGCCCGCCAGGGGCGTTCGCCTCGACCCAGCCGCGCCGGCAGCGGCGGCGGCGCCCACGGAGTTCTTCGTCTGCGTCGCGGCGTTCACGCGCGTCCCTCCGCCGCAGTTGTCGAACAGCAGCGCCACCGGGTGGAGCACGCGGCCGCCGCACGAGCGTCTCTTTCCCGCCGCTGCTGAGTCCGGCGTGGGCTACGGGAGGGGGCTGGCTGCAAACCCGTCCTCCTCGCTCTCCGCGGACGGCCAGCCGGTGCGGCTCTACACCCTCGCACCCCGCCTGCGGGTGTACGTCACTCCCCCGCACGTTGCTCTTCGCGGCATGTGGGCGCTACCGCCCTCTGGCCTGGAATCCGACGGCGTCTTTGACGCCGCGTCACTTGGGCCCGCCGCGACGACGCTTGCGGTGCCGCAGTTTTCATCGCCGGTCATCGTCCTTGACGGCGAGGGGCTGCGGGAGGGTATGGCGCTGCTCCTCGCGCGAGAGCCGGCGTCGTGTGCGAGGCGGCAGCCAACGTCGGGGCGCACTCCGGCCGACGCCCCTGTGCCGGCCGCACTGGACACGATGCTCGCCGTTAGCACTCTCCTGCCCTCACGGCGGGCTTTGCGGGCCGCCGGCGTCGCGGGGCAAACGCGCGTGGCATTTGTTCAACTCAACCTCAACCACACCGGACTGTGGGGCATGGCACCCGGCGAGGCAAACCTGACGTGGCACCTGTGTTTCGCCTATACGCCCCTCTCGCGGTTTGTGCCGCTTGCGGGCTTGAAGATCATCGTGACGCGGGCCCGCATCGTCGCCGCGGCGACGCACGAGGGCCACGGCCTAGACGTTGACGTTGACGGTGACGACGGCAGCAGCAGCAGCGCCACCGCCGCTTTCCCGCAGCTGAATATTGGCGTTGGATTCAGCGGCCTGCTGCGATTGTGGGGCCTTGCGGCGCACATGTGGTCCCCCAGCACGCTTAACGCGGCGGAGGTTGCCTTTGCGCAGTCGCCGCCGGGCAACGCGGCCGCGGCGGAACCGGCGCTTCAGTGCAGCAACACGTCTCTCTTTTACCGTCAGCGCTCCTTGGGCATCGTTACCCCCCGCGGCACCGCCGCCCCCGTCCCGCGTCCTCCGCCCACCACCGGCGACGCTGCGGCAGCGACGCGGGCGCAGCTGCAGCAAGAGCCGGCGTCCGTGGTCGTGATTCCGCCCGGGTTTTTCAACGAGGAAACCACGCGTCGTATGCGTCTCTGCCTGTCGGTTCCGATGCCCTTTGAGAACAGCCGACGTGTGTTTTTCCCCACCGCCGCCACCGTCGACGTCCACCCCGTCGAGGTGCGCTTCATCGGGCCCTACGCGGCACATTTCCCCGCCGCGGCGGCAGTCGCCCGTCTGACGCGTGTGGAGGTGGCTGAAAACGTCCAAGACGTGGTGCTTCCGCTTTTTGGCTACGGCCTGCGTGATGACATGCTGCTCTTCCTCGCAGGGGGGAGGTGTCACCCGCCGGTGGACGAGGCGGGAGGCGCATACTTCGGTCGCGTTAGCCGCATGAACTTCACCATCCTGCGCCCCTACGATGTGCCGCCGAACTACCGACGGCCGAACGCCGCACGCAGTGCGGCAGCCACGAGCGACTTTTTTATCGCGCTAAACATCACACACACCGCAGCCCTTGTGGCGGATCGCGTGTTTGGCGCGGCGCGGGATCCGCTCCTTCTCTGCCTCTACGCGCCAGGCACGCGCCGCGCGGTGTACCCGCTCGGATTTACGTTTGTCGTGCGTCGCCCGTACATCACGTCGATGCGGTCGATTAAAGCACCGTCGCCCCCGCAGCGGGAGGCGGCGCCGGTGGCGGTGGTGTACGCCTCCCGCCTCGACCTCGTTGTGGAGGGCTTCGGCCTGCACGAGGGCGAGGCGGCGTTCGTCCCAGCGGTGGACTGCAGCAACGCGACGAGTTTTCTCTGGCGCAGCCCCGTCCGCGCCTCAGGGGTGCCGTCGATGGCTGTCACGGGCGACGCCGCGGCTTCCGCCGCCCGCTACGTGAACCCTTTCACCTCCATGTCGTCGTGGTTTCTCTCCCTCACGCAGGCGCAGACGGCACGCATCGGGGCACGTGCGCCGGACGGCGACGTCGTTGACCGCTTCCAGTGGTGTGTGCGCTACCGGGACGCGGATGCCGCGGCAGACGCCACGGAGTGGCGCAGCGGGTTTGTGCCAACCGGCATTCCCTACCGGCTCACGATTCCCCGCACCGACGGGTTTCGCTTTGGCGGGCGCACGCTGAAGCGCATCACACGCAAGCGGCGGCACCCCACACTGGGGCGGTGGGAGAGCCTACAGCTCGCTGGACCGCTGATCTCCCACACCCTCGCGCAGGGCAACCCACTTTTTCTGTTTCTCGCGGAGGAACCGGCGGCGTGCACGGCGCCCAACAACAACTCCCTCCTCGGCAGCAACAGCTCCGAGCGCCTCCTCGTCGCGGTCAACGGCTCTGTGATTATCCTGCCAAAACTGTTGACCCGCACGGGGACCTTCAAGCTCTGCGCCAGCGCCGTCTACCCGGAGCGGCGGCCTTCCGAGGAGGGAACCGAGGCGGCGCCCCAGTTCTTTGAGCTCACCGGCCTGCGCATCGAGCTGGTGGATCCCGTCTACGCCGTCTTTTCGCTGAACCGCACGGACCACGTGACTGTGGAGCAGGGTCAGCACTGGACGCTGCCAATCAGCGGATCGGGCCTCTCCAACATGTCACTTGTGCGCTTCCGCCCCATCGGCGCCAATTGCAGCACGCCAATGCCGCGCGATTTGGACGATGTGGCTGTGCTGAACGTGTTTGAGGGTTTAAAGTTCTTTGGGGAACTCGTGACGCCTGCCCAGACGGAGTCCGACGAAGACGACGACGACAGTGGCGGTCCGCACTACGTTGTGCTCGGACGCGACCTCATCCGCGGCCTCGCGGTGCGGGAGCACCGGCTGTGCTTCAAGCCCGACCGCTCCACGCCTTGGATGGGCTCCGAGGTCGTGCTGAACGTGCACCCCCACGTGCGACGGCCCACGCGCTACGCCTACTTTAGTGCCGACGGCAGCGACGACGTCGTCGCAGCGACGGCGCTGCCGCCAACGAAGCTTGCGCTGGCGTGGCTGACGCGCGAGAGGGACACGACGAACATTGTGGGCGCCGTGGCCCGGGAGGTGGCGGTGGCGCTCTGGTGCCGCGACGGCGCGGCACCGGAGGCGGCCGCCGTGGTGCCGTGTGGCAGCTGGAGGCGTGTCATGTTTGTTCGGCCGCTCGACGACGGCGTCCGCGACCGCGACCCGTGCTTCGTGGACTTTGAGGCCAACCAGTCGGCGACGGTGCTCGGTCCCTACGTGCTTGACGACGGTGTTCTCACCATCCCACGCGCGGTGAGCCGCAACGCAAGTTTCTACCCCAACTCCACGCAGCCGTGGATTATGTGCCTGGAGACCGCGGCGGAGCGGTGGCGGGAGCCCGTCCACCCGCTCCTGCAGCTGCAGTACACGACGGCGACCCCGGTGGGGTTCCGCCGCAGCCCTGATGACGCCAGCAACACGACGGCGACGTTTCTCGGCGCGCTACGGCGTGACGCGGGTCCGCCGCAGGACCGCACCGGACAGGAGGGCAACCGGACACTGACTCTCCACATGGGGGAGGAAAGCAAAGTATTTTACCTGAATGGCTATGGCATTCAGCGCGGTTTCATGCTGCGCTTTGGGGCGCGCTGCGACGACGGCGACGACGACGGCGCGGCGGCGGCGGCAGCGGCGCAGGGGCTGAACAATACTCTGCTGTACGAGGCGCCCCTCACGCTCGAGGACGACCACGGCGTGTTTCTGCTTCCCGCCACGCACTTTGCCCGTCCGGAGGCGCCGACGCCGATGTGCCTCTCCACCAACGGAGGCGCGTCGTACGCGCGGACGAACCTTTCCTTGACCGTCCTCCCGCCGCGCTTGCGGCGCGAGCCGCCCGCGGCTGAGTCCGACATCGCCGAGCTTGCCTTCCGCCGCACGCTCGTTGTGCCACGGCTGAGCAAAGGCGCGGTGAGCCTCGCCAATTTGACCGCCGACGACGAGGACGACAAGACGACTAGCGGCGTGAGCCAGCGAGCGGGGCGAGGCCGTGCCTTTGCGGTGGGGACGCGGGTGTTGTTTTCCTCGGCGTGTCACGAGAGCCGTGAGGGGCTGCCTGTCACCCTGGTGACGGCGCCCGGCGTCCTCACCCTGACGGAGGCGCACACGCGGGTTGCCACCAAAGGGCGGCTGCACATGTGCGTGGACACCGCCAGCGACGAAGGTGGCGACCGCGGCGGCGCAGGCAGTGGTGCGGCGGCAGAAGACGCGGGGGAAAATGCGGGCGCCACGCCGCTCCACGCGTTCCGCCCTTCGGGTCTCTTCCTCTACGTGCTGAATGTCGCGGTGACCTCCGTCTCGCTGCATCAGCCCGTACCGAACGTGGTGGCGGAGCAGAACGGCATCCGCCACCTCGTGGTTCGCCGCGGCGCTGCGCCAGTGATGCTCCTCGCCACCGTCGAGACAGCCGCGCGCGACGCCGCGGCGGCGGTGGGCGACGCCTGCAGCGCGGAGGAGCGGTACATGCGCATGCTCAACGCCCCTGGGGCCCTGGCGCTCTTTCGTCTGGCGAAGTTCCAGCTGGGCAGACCGTGCGGCGCCCCAGACCCGCAGCAGCCGGCGGCGTCCACCGCCGCCGCCCTCTCCGCACTGACCGCCACATTTGACAACAACAGCGTGCTGCACGTCGCGACGGGCGAGGGCGCCGATGCGGTGGGCTTCGCGGTGCCGTTGCACCTCGCAGGCAACGAAACCGTGGAGCCATCCGCGCCCGCCTCGCTCTGCTTCTCCGTCGACGGCGGCAGGCACTACGTGTCGGTTGGAATTTCCTACATCGCCGTCTCCTGGGCCCCCACACTCCGGGTGCGGCTCTCCACGCGGGTGGAGGAGCCAGAAGGGGAGGCAGGGGGCAACCAGTCTGTCCTCTCCAGCGTCACGCACGTGTTTGAGCAGACGAGTCACGTTGGAAGGCTGGTCGACACACGCTACAGCACCGACCTTTCCCCCGCCCACGACGACCCCCTGCTGCGCCGCTACTTGAACGGCTTCACCACTGACGCGCTCTGGTGCGGCTTCTTGCAGAATGCCGGTTTTGCGAGCGGTGGGGAGTTGTACCTTCCGGCGCTAACCATAGGCGGCGAGCAGCGTGAGAGGAGCGCCTTGCTCTTCGCCGTGAATGCCCTGCAGCGAGACATACCCACAGGGCTCACGCTGCAGCTGGAGCCCATGGCGCTTCACTGCATCGGCGAGGTCGCGGCGGCCGCGCAGCAGGTGCATCGGCAGTCCACGGGGTGGTTGTTGCCCATCGCAGGTGCGTGCGGGCGCAGCGTTCAGTCCGGCGTGACGGTTCGTCTGGTTGACAGCAGTGTGAGTTCCTGCGGGTCGCCGGCGGTTGCCGCCGCCTACGTGATGGACGTCTTCGTCATGAAACCGCCTGAGTGGGCTGGCGTCGGTGCCACGCCAACCTCGACGGCACTGCAGCTTCCAACGTTGACACGCTACGTGCCGGATGGCAGATACAAGTTGTGTGTCAAGAAGTACTTGCCCTACCGCCTGGGAAGAGCCGCGGTCTTCCTCGACACGGCCGTGGAGCTGGAGGTGACCTCCGCGCTCGGCGTGAACGCGCTTGCGGGGCTGCATCGCGGGCTGCTGGCGGTGTTTCACGGCAGTGAGGCGGAGCTGCGCGTGCAGGGCTCTGTTGTGCCGTTTGCCGAGGATGTGTGCCTTGCGTTTGTGCCTGTAGACGTGGGCAAGCACCACAACGACGCCGACGCCGTGTGCGGGGAGCTGCAAGCGAGCTTCGACAGCCGCGGCGGCCGTGGCACACTTCCCACGTTGTGGAAGCGGGTGACGGCGGCGGCTGGAGGCGGGTTCGTGCTTCGGTTGCGGCCGCGGGAGCTCGTCTCGGTCGCCCCCCGTCGCCCTGTACCGCGTCTGCTACAGCGTCGACGGAGGCGTTCGTTTCCACCCCGCCGGGGAGGCGCCGTCTTTCCTGCAGCTGACGGTCCTCCCGCCCACCATCCTTGCACTTTCGGCGCAGCACGCGGGACAGCCGTACAACCGCAGCAGTGTGACGGCCACCGCCCTGCGCCTGCAGCGCTTCACCGAGCACGACGCTTCGCCGCCCTCCGAGCCTGACTCGTCATCCGTGTGGGTCTCTGGCTTCGCGGAGCGGCCGCCGAGTTACTACCACCGCGCAGATGCGTGTTTTGTGGGGAACGGCATCGGCGCCGGCAGTGGCCGGGCGGTGGCGGTGGCGGTTCTTCGCACCGACCTCTTTGGGGAGGTGTGTGGCGGCGTCACCCTGACCGCCGACGTGCAGGCGGCGGACGCGGGGCCGCGCAACCCGCTGGCGCTCCCCGTGTTTATCATCGACGCCCGCAGCGGCTGCCTCTGGGACGCCGGCGGCAGCAGCAGCAGCAGCGGCGGCGACGAGGGCGCGGTTCTGCGGGGGGATTGGCTGAACAACACGGCGGCCCTCCGCAGGGCGGGCGGCCTGGGCGCGGCGGCGCTGCTGGGGCGGGCGTCCACCGCGCAGGAGCGTCTTGGGCGCCGCTCCGCCGCGTACCTGCTCTGCACCTCCGTAGACGGCGTGCACTTTTACAGCGCCAACGCCCCGCGGCCGGGCGCCAACCATGGCGCGGAGTGCGATGCCGCACTGCTCTCCGCGCTGGCAACCGCGGCACCCCGCGCCTCAGCGACGCCGGTGGCGAGCGTCAGTCGCCTCCCACTGGTGCTCCGCGTGGACGCAACGACGAGCGGCTCGTACTACGCCCGCGACTTGGCTGTCGTGCACCAACTCGTCCTCCGCCCCCGTGCGGCTGCGGGGCCGACGGCGCTGGAGTTGGAAGGCAGCGCGGAGTCGCTTGTGCGGTTTCAGTGCGCGGCGGCGCAGCTGCTGCGCGTTGATCCAGCGATCATTGTGTTGCGACTGGCCAACCGTGCGGTGGGGGCGGCAGGCACGTACGCCACCTACACCTTGTCGTTCTCGCTGCTGGCGGACGCGCGGGTGGGGCGGCGCGCGGCAGACGAAGCGGCAGGCACACTCACGGCCGCTCCCGAGCTGCTCCTGCGGTACGCCGCACTGCTGCGCGGCAACGACACCCAGGCGTCGCTCCTCTCGACGCTGCTGTCGCCTGCTGCGCGTGAGGCGGGCCTTGTGACGGTGTGGGCGGCGTATGTGAACTTTACGTTCGGCACCGGGGTGGACCTGCATGCGGCGCTGGCGCAGCACAGCCGGGAGCTGCCGAACACGCCTCCCGAGGAGCCGCTGTGGCGGGCCCGCTTTGCCGCGGTGCCCCATGCCAATCTCCTCGCTGAGGACGTCCCAGACAATGCGGGGAATGAAGCGGCACGAAAAATGGCGTGGTGGGCGGTGCCGCTGCTGCTGCTGTTCCCCGTCTGCCTCGTGGCGGGGGCCGGCTTTCTGTACCGGCGGTTTCTCCGGTTCCGCCCCCGCGGAGGCGCAACTGCCGCTGAGGGAGAAGAGACCTGCGGCGCGGAGTCACGAGGCAGGCGAGATGCGGCGAAGCAAAGTGGGCGGGGCGCCGCTGCGGCGGCAGATGAAAGCGGGCGAGCGTGAGGGCGCCGGCGTCGGGCGATGGCGGAAAGCGAGGCAACCACGAAGGCGAACAAAGGAGCAAAACAAAAAAACAAGAAGAGGGAGAGAGAGGGAGAAGCAAAAAAAGAAAAGAAAAAAGAAACGTGCTTGGCCCTCACTCGACATTACGAGACGTCTTGGTGCGGTATCGCGACGGCGCCCTCCTTGACGTTCTCACAACGCTGCCCCAACGAGCTCCTGCCCGTCGTGGGAGGAGAGGAGGAAGAAGGCACACACACACACATATATATATAACACATTCCACGCGTTGCGGCTGTAGTGTATCCGGCGGCTCTCCTCTCTTTTATATTGTAGGGGAGGGAAAAATGAAGAATGCTCCTCTTGCTGTCGCCGCACCCCCTTGGCGGATGCACGCATTCTTACTTCTCCTGTCCGTCTCCCGCGCCCTGCGACGCCAGGGGCATCTCGTGTGGATCAAAGGGAAAAACCAGCGAATAACGAAAAGTACATACGTGCGTGTTTATTTACATCTATACGCACTCGAAAAACAAAAATATTCAAGAGGGGCAACACGCACAGGCGCACACGCTGCTAGTAGAGCGAAGCGGACACAAATAAAGAAGGAAAAGGGACAGAGGCTTCCTAGGGAGCGATAGAAGGAAGGAGCGGGGGGAAAGAGGGTCGCCTATCTGTGCCTTTGCGCTGCGACAAATGCCCCTGACGGACGGCAAAGACAAGGACAAGGACAAGAGCGTCGTCAGGCAGGGACGTCGCCGCACCGAGTCCACTGTGCAACGTTTTTCCAAGACTGCCATTGGCGAGGGCTTTCAGCTGTGGGACAGGGACTATCTCTTAGGTGCGATGCGGCTGTTTTTGTTTAAGGGGGAAACGGCGCCGCCGTTTCAGGTTGGCCCCTGCATGGACGCCACCGGGGAGATTCTTGTGCAGATGGAGGAGTACGAAGACGCGGCGGAGCAGTTCATGGGGGCGGCGTCGAAGTACGCGCTGATTCAACAGCCGGAGTTGGCGCGGCTGATGGAGATCAAGGCCCTAGAGTGCTCACAAGGCCCGCAGGCGGCCTTGGAGAAAGTGACGCCGTACCTCGCGCAGCAAACCGCGGCGCCTACGTTTCGTGGCTTGACCCCCGCACTCGCGCGTATGCAGGCGTACAAGGCGGACCTCATGCTAAAAACTGCAGGCGACGCAGAAACGACGGAGAAGGCGGTGGAGGCGGCGAGGCAGGCGTGCCACTCTGGCTGGGATCGCATCCACGTCGCCTACATCCTCGTCGGTGACGGGTTGCAGGCGCTGGGCCGGTTTGAGGAGGCATGTGAGGCGTACGCCGACGCCGTGAAGTCCAACGCCAACTGCATCGCAGCCATGGAGCGGCAAATGGGCGTGCTGCGGATCTTCATCGCCGAGACCACGGACGAGTCACGGCAGAAGCAGCTGCGCCAGGACCTCCTGCAGCTGCTCGACAGCGCGATTGCGCTGCACCCCCGCCCCACCCTGCTGCGGGAAAAGGCCTTCCTGCTCAGTGAGACGGAGGGCGACGCCGCGGCGCTGCAGTTCCTCGACCCCCTCATACTAAATCCCCCGCCAGAGGAGGCGGATGCGGCGGGCGGCGTTGCCGGCCGCACAGTCGCCACGCTGCTGAAGGCGAAGGCCGCAATTCTCGCGGATGGCGGCAAGCTGGGCGAGGCTCTGCAGATCGCGAGGGCGGCGCTACAGGAAAGCCCCGGCGACGAGGAGGCGGAGGCCATTGTCGCCGAACTGCAGGAAGCCGCGTAGCTCCGGCGGTTGTTGTTTTTTTTTTCTGTGTGTGGGGGGGGGCGAGAGGGAAGCCGGACTCAGATGTACCGCCCATGCCTTGGCCGCGGGCGAGCCCTTCCGCCGCCATGACACAGAAGGCAGCAAGGCACGTGGGCGCGTCCGCGACCAAAAAAAAAAAGAGTAAAAGAGAGAAGGGGAGGGGACGCGCGGGGGTGAGAAGTAACCATCGTCTGCTCTCTGAAGCAGGGGGTGAGGGAGAGACAGAGAGAGGGAGGGAAGCGGATGGAGATGGATATGGTGTTTGCGTGTGGGTGTGTGGCGTGGAGGCAGAGTACGAGGGCAAAAGGAAAAGAAAAAGGAAGGGAGGGAGGGAGCGGCAAAAGGTGTGGCGAGGTAATGTACCGCAGCCAGGTGGAGGTTTGCCTCCTACTTGTCTCCACAGCAATAAAACACAAAACAAAACAAAAACAAAAAAAACTAAATGGAGAGAAAACGAAGAAGCTAAGTGCTGATGTCGAAGCCAAGCCGGGAAGTGAGAGGAGGTTGGTGGTGGTGCTGGTGGTGGGGAATAACAACAACAGTAATGCTGATTCTATATATGCTGGACGCAGCAGGTGCGCAAGGATGTTTGATTGGCAATTGTCTGCAGTATAGACGTGTATTTACCTGTATGTTGCTCTGCCTATGTATATGCCCGTGCGTCACGCCGCCAATAGCCGGATTGTTCACTTATTATTGTGGCACGTGATGTTGTTGTTTTTTGTTTGTTGTTGTTTCTGCCGTCCTTTTTTTTTTGCTTTGCTTTGCTTTGCTTGGTTTGTTTTTGCTGCTGTTGGTCGTTGTATTTCTTGTTTTTTTTTGGTTTATATTCCCTGCTTTTTTTTTCCTTTCCCTCACCCGCTCTACGCGTCTCGTGCATGAGCCGCAGGTAAACATATATACCTCTACATCTATGTATATATGCATAGAAATAATATTATTATATATATATATATGTGTGTGTGTGTTTTTTTCTTAGTTCTGTGTTTATATATATATATATATATCTCCCTTGTGTGCGTGTGTGGTGAGGGTGCCGTTGGTATCGGTGCTGGTATGCTTCGTGTCACGCGCGGTGCGCGTGGCCTCAGTGACGTTGTGTGTGCCTGTGTGTGTGTGTGTGGGCGGCTGAGAGGGCCCGTCCCTGCACCCCTAGTGCCTCTCGCCGGCGGTGTTCACAGCGCCCCGTGAACCCCCTCCCCGCCCCTCCGTCTCTTTTTTCTGCTGTTTCTTTTGTTAGAAATATATTTTTTTTTTCCCCTCCCCCTCGCTGCACGTCTGCC